GTTTTTAATTTTTAGAAATTTTTGTTGATTTATTTTCTGAATATTTCTTTTTACAGCATCCTGTTCACATTTCGTGGGAGCAAAATCCGCCTCCTTCTCAAAGGACACTGGTTGGCTGTTGTTTGCCATCTCAACCTGCATCTTCTCAGCCCCGTTTGCTGTTTCTTTCGGTTCCTTTGGTCCCATCTTCATCTCCCCAGGCTCTCTCAGAGGCCTCAGGAGCCTCCAAGTGCCCCTGGTGCACCTTAGGGTTTGAGAGCAGTTGCTAGAGCGTCTCTTATCTTTCTGAAGCTTATCGAAACAGATCCCACAGAGAAAAACAACACACGTTGCAGTACTTTTCCTGTGAAGAACCAGAGCTGCTGTCTCCCACTTAAAGGCCCAGCACTTTTCCAAGTATTCCGTCCATGCCCCACTCCCCCAGTGTGTTTATTTGTACCACCTTGCATTCCTCCACCTCTGCCAGTGCTCCTGTCATTCCTGTTTAGGTCGGAGAGACGCCTGGCACCTCTCCCTACCAGGAACCTGACGCTGACCTTGGCTCTCCTTCGCCTGCTGGGCAGACTTAAGGTGAGGCCAATGTTCTGGCCCGGAGCAGGAATGATAACCCCCTTGAGGAAGCGTGCTGCAGGCCGGAAAGCGCCCCCCCTTGCAAGGCCAAACCATCTTGCCATTGTGTCGCTGATCCAAACAGGAAGGTGTGTGTTTGCAGAGAGCTCTGAGGGCATGAAACGGGAAAGGGAACCCAAGGGCATGGGGTGTGGCCACCGAGGGAGGAAATCAGCTCATATTTGGAAGGGGCCCTATTTTCTTTGCAAATCAAGATGTATTTTTACTTTAGTAACTTGTAAAATTATGTATCTTAATATGTATTTGATGAAGCGCTCCATCATTTGGTGAGTCAAAAGATATTTACAGACTTTCTATCCTGCGCCTGAGAATGGGGGGGATATGCACGGGCAAATAAGGGTGACGCAGGGTAGTAACAACAGCAGCGGTTCCAAGTGCTAGACCCTCACTACGGCTGTCCTGCTGTCTCTTTTAGGTCTCAACATCCCTTAAGAGGTTTTATGATAATTATTATTCTTTTCTTTATAAATGAGAGGACAGTGATTTGGACAGTTTGCCCAATGTCACGGCTTCAGTGTAACACCGGGAATAAGTTTCAGAGGCAGGATTCAAGCAAGCTCAGGTCTCCCGACGACTTTGTAGCCCACAACCTTGACCATTATACCTCATGATCTACAGGGTAGATCGTTGCTCACTTTTTTTGTTTTTGTAATCCTCACCTGAGGATATTTTTTTCATTGCTTTTTGGAGAGAGAGAGAGAGGGAGAGAGAGAAACATCGATGTGAGAGAGACACATGGATTGGTTGCCTCCCGCACGTGCCCGGACTGACCTGGGCTGAGCCTGCAACCAAGGTACGTGTGCTTGGCCAGAATCGAACCTGGGACTCTTCAGTCCTCGGGCTGACTTTCTAACCACTGAGCCAGACCGGCCAGGGTGATATTTATTCTTTTTTTTTTTTTAAGTAGACTTTATTTTTTATTTTATTTTTTTAGACTTTATTTTTTATTTTTTTATTTTTTTAAATCTTTTTAAAAAAATTAAAAAAAAAAAATCTTTATTGATTTCAGAGAGAGGAAAGGAGAGGGAGAGAGAGAGAGATAGAAACATCAATGATGAGAGAGTCACTGATTGAGCCCGAAACCGGGCATGTGCCCTGACCAGGAATTGAACCCTGATCGCCTGGATCCTAGGTCGACGCTCAACCGCTGAGCCACGCCCGGCCAGGCTACTTATTCATTTTTGAAGGAAGCTTCTATCAGGACCCTCTTATTAACTTAGACCCAATAGCTCCAGATTTGGAAGCGCTAAGCATCCCAGCAAAACCCGGTGTCAGTTAGCTGTGGTCAGAGTAATGCTGCGTAACAAACCACTCCTAGACCCAGTGGCCTAACATAACAATGCTTTAATCTCAAGGATCTGCAGGTCAATGGCAACTCTGCTTCAGGCTGTGGTAGCTGGGGGTCCACTGAGCTGGGCTGGGCTGGCTCGAGTGGGTCTACTGTAAGCTGCATCTTGTGTAGACTTGGTTCCTTGCTCAGGTACTTTCCATGTGAGTTAATTCTGAGGCTCAGCTCCAAGGGGCAGTAGCTATCTGGGGGAATCTCTTTTGGTAGCGATGGCAGGAATGCAGAAGGACACATCTCACTGTGCAAACATACTTTATACCCCTGTTTGTGTCATGTCTGCTACCCTCCCATTGTCCAAAGCAAGTCACTTGGTTGAGCCCAAGGTCAAGGGGCAGGACTGAAAAGTCATATAGATATGCGGTGGTGGTGGTGATGAATTGATGCTAATAATTCTATCTACCACAGCTTCCCAAACCCACAGCTGCCTGCACACTATGCTTGTAAATTAATGCTTGTATGTGTGCATATGCAGTTTATGGAGTTACTGTTATAAAAATGATAAAATAATTATATGTACATTGTAAAAATGTAGAGGTTATAGGCTGGTGGGAGAGTTAGACAGTAAAAAAAGATAAAACAACTATTTAAAAGGATGTTAGAATTTATTTAATTGATTCTGGACACATTATAAGTCTCTTGGGACAGATTCAACATCTTTCTGTAGTTAAAAAAAAGATGTTTCCTTGTCCTTGAAGTTTCTTAAACTCACAGAATTTGAAATCATGTCTTATTCTTTTAAAACAGTATTCGGTGTGACAATGTCGAGAGTTCAATATCAGCTTTATCACTGGCCCTTAAACATCTTGGCAATTTGAGAATCCCTTCTTTAAAAAGATGGGAAATCCATGCAAGGGAAAAATGTTAATTATGTTAGGATCCTGTGAATATGGGTGGTAGCACTCTTCCTTTGTATTTTCTCAAATGTCATATCGGCAATGCAGCTGTCCTAGGCCTGAGCATCTAATGAAGACCTTCCAATGAATTAAAATCATAGGAAAATAGTCTTTGGCACTGCAGCACCATCTCTTTCCACATCCAGTGGATTCCCGGGGATTTCCTGCAACTTCTAGAATAGTAAACCTTGGTGGCCTTGAGTTTCTTTCTCCTGACCTGGGTTGTCCCAGGTTCTGTTCTTTCCTCTGCCACCTTGTGGATTTTGGGGGGAATTGCGTCTTCTACTGTGAGCCCTCATTGATCTGGCTGCTGCTTTTCCTGGGAAGGAGGGTCGGGGGTAGAAGTGAATTCTCCCCACCAGAGTGACACTCAAGACAAAGTGACTTTGCTTTTTCTGTTTTCTTATAGTCCCCCCTTTGGGGACAGTGTCCTCAGGGGCCCAGCTGAAGGGCTTTTGAATGACCCTGCCAGTATCACACCTGAAGGGCTCTCTCCATCGGAGACCTTGAACCAGCATCCCAGGATGGGATACAGGCCCCTGACTTTCTGCAGTAGTGCCTCTCCAATCCACTAGAGGTTCCCTTTTTAAAAAAATTATGAAAGTAATACAAGCTTACTCAGAGCTTGCAGGAGGAGACAGATTTTATTTATTTATTATTATTATTTTATTTTTATTTTTAAATCCTCACCCAAATACATTTTTTCTATTGCTTTTCAGAGAGAGTGGAAGGGAGAGAGAGAGAGAGAAACATCAATGATGAGAGAGTCATTGATCAGCTGCCTCCTGCATGCCCCCTGCTGGGGATCAAGCCCCAAACCTGGGCTTGTGCCCTGGATGGAACTGTGACCTCCTGGTTCATAAGTCGATGCTCAACCACTGAGTCACACCGGCCAGGCAACGCATGATTTTTTTTTTTTTCTTGCTTACAGGCCCTTCAGACTATACCAACAGAGTGGGCAGAGCATTTAGGTTTAATATCAGTGACACAGCATTAGCATAAACTCAGACAACGTCAGACAGAGTATTTTCTTCTGAGCTGGCAAAGTAACTACAGAAACATCAGGTCACTTCTCTGAACTGAGAATTTTATCCCAAATAAATGCTACATACCTTCCAGGCATAGTTTTAGAATATGTTTAGTAATTCCTTTATGTGATATTGGTAAGCGACTGAAATTTAAAAGGACTTCAGCTTGCTGAGATTTTACTGTCTTTGTAAAAATAAGTGTGGAGTAAGGCTGCTTACGGTCTTATGACAGCATATCGCACGAGGCCCTTTTGGGCTTTAATAGGAAGAACACCAGGCTTTAAAGAACTTGGCTCTACTTCCGCATCCATAATGTGTGAACTTGGACATGATTTCACCTGTCTGAACCTCGCCTCCTTATTTGTAAAACGGAGATGGAGAATGGCGAGTAGTAATAGCTGCCTTGCGGTTCACAGCTTATCCTGCTTTCTAATCATACCACACGAGACAGGTACTCTCCTCTCCTTTTCACAGGAGAGGAGACTGAAGATCAGAAAAAGTAAGCGACTTAGCGAAGGTTACATCACTAGAAAGAGGTGAGGCCAGGACACGAACCCTTGTCTTCCTGGCTCCAATGTCAGCTAAAAAAAAAAAAATTTTTCCCCCATCTTTATTACGCCCCTTGCTGATTTCCCTGCCTGCCTCTGAAATGACTGGGAAAGTCCAATTAGATTGGTGAACGGCGTTGGGAAAATGTTATAAAATAGGCAAATGTCAGAGATGACGGGCTGTCTGTGAAACAGGAGGCCACACACTGAGGCTGCAGGTGGAAACTCAGAACGCCCGGCTGGCGCGGGCATCTGCTTACGGGACATGGGTCTCGCACGCTGCCTCCCCAGATTCAAGCTCTGAAAGTCACATTGCAGGCGGATAACTTCCTGCCCCAGGACGAGCGTTTACAGGAATTCAGAGGAAAATATTTTCGTGGTCATATTAAAAACTCGGGGTCAGATGCACTTAGCATCACGCCGTAAGCGCTGTTAGTGAAAGCGTAAACACGCCGTGGGCCGGACACGGCTTCCTTCAAATACGCTGGCTCTCCGGGGGCCATCCATCCGGCGACAGGCGACAGGCAGCAGGCGGAGAGTGGAGCCGGGCAGGATGAAGGCAGCTCTGGCGCTTGTGCTCTCTCTCGCCCTGCTGGCTTCCTTCTCAGGTGAGCGCTCGACCCGCTAAACTGCAATAAGTCTATTTTCTGCTTTGAAGGTATTTTTTTCATTGCAAATAAGATGTATATTATTTGTATAAGTACGTATAAATATATAAAAGTTCAATGATTTGTTTTTCTAAGAGTGGGCTCCCAGAATTGCTATCATTAGGGATGAATTCTTTTTCTAAAGAATTCATTTCTAAAGAATTCTAAAGAATTCTTTTCTAAAGAATTTAAGTGTGTTTGAACGTTAATTCTCAAAAATGCTGATAAATCTTCAACTTAGAGTTCATAGGAGATCACAAAATTTGGTACACTTGTATTTGATGATATCTTTTAGAGTTTGTGTGTGAGTATCAAAACATAATATACTTTTATTATCACAATATCTTCTTTGAGGGACCAAGTTGAACAGATGATCAAGTTGAACATAATCTTGTCACGGGGTATCTTCCAATAACAACTTTAACTTGATCTAGCGTACTGGGGATTTTAAAAAATCCCACAAAGCGAACCTAAGGGACAGGAAACACATGGACCAGAGAACTAGAGAAAATATGTTTTAAAAAACACGTAATTAACACCCACTTATAAAGGAACGGGCCATTGCAATGGGTAAGGGGGTTTGAGCTTGCAGGACTGGCTCCGAGGCAACCATATCAGAAACAATTTAGAATTCCTCCCTGAGCCGTCTGGAATGCCTCGTCCCTTGGGACGGCCCCTGTGAAAGAACTTTTGTGTTTTGCCTGAAATTGAACTTGCTAATCGTTTGCCTTGCACTGTGAACTCCTGTGCCCCGAGGGTCCCTAAGGCCCTGTCCTGACATTTGCAGGGGCCTCCCCGATCCTGACGGAAAAGCAGGCCAAACAGCTCCTGAGGTCCAGGCGCCAGGACAGGCCGAGCAAACCCGGGTTCCCCGACGAGCCCATGCGGGTAAGTGCTGGGCCCAGGCTGTGTGAAGGGAGAGTTCGGCCATTTCAACGATCCCTCAATATGAAACCAACCCGGGCCCCGGTGCCAGTCCAGCGGGGGCTGCGGGATCGGGGTTCTGTTATAGAGACTCAGGCGTAGGTGACCTCAACCTTTCACCCACGCCTGTCCTCCTGGGGGGTGGGGGACTGGCTTCCTTCACCTACCGCTCACACAGTATTTAAAATGCAAACAGTGGGGCCCTGGCTGGTGCTGCTCAGTGGTTGGAGCGTCAGCCTGAGCACCGAGGGGTGGTGGGTTCGATTCCCCGTCAAGGGCACGTACCTGGGTTGCAGATTCCATCCCAGGTCGGGGCTCTTTCACATGGACATTTCTCTTCTCCTCCCTCCCTCCCTGCCACTTTCTCTAAAAAGCAATGGAAAAAAATATTCTCAGGTGATGAATAAAAAAATAAAATAAATAAATAAAATGCAAACAATGGGGCCCATGGAGTCTGAGTTGGCTGCTGGGTGTCACCTCTGAATGGGGTGCTAGGGAGCTGTGCCCTGCAGCTGGTGCCAACCCCACCTTCTCCCTCTCAGCTGGTGCTGAGCAGGCTGGACCAGCGTCCCTGGCCAGCAACACCTTCCTGGGCAGGCAGAATCTCTGCTCCAGCCGCCTGGGGAGGGTTCTGCCTTTACCCTGTGCCTCAGATTGGTCTTTGGCTTCAGCTCGGCCCTGTGGGTTTGTGGTGTCCGCCTGCCGAGTCTTTCTGAACCAGGGCCCCTCCCCTGCCTCCATCTCGTGACTAGTGGTGGGTGTCACTAGAACCTGCCACGCTGGGCCCCGGCCAATCCGGGCCTGGCTTGTCCTCCCCTCTCTGGTGGAAATAAAGACATTCCAGGTATTTGTCCCATCCTGGGTCGAAGTGACCCAGGCACAGTTAGCTTGCCTGGGAAGCCAGCCGTGTTTGTGCTCAGGCTGGTCTCTCACCCTGTGCCCACTTCAGCCGGGCTCCGGGCTCACCCTCTTTTCTTGTGTCCCCAAGTCAAGGTCTAGAAGGATCTGTAGCAGCATTTACCTTCACTCCCTGCAGAATTATGTGGATAATCTGATTAGTTCATTTAAAAGGCTCTTATTAAATTGCAATGATGGAGAATGCTGATTGCCTGGGTTCGAGTCCCCCCCCCTTCTGTAACTGTAACCATGGGGATGTCTCCTCACATTTCTGCACCTCAGGACCCTCATCTATAAATTGGGGTTAGCAATAAATATTATTATTTACACTATTATAACAGTAACAATGTAAAACGCTACTTTATGAGCTTAATATAAAGTAATCCACAGTAAGGCTCTTAAAACAGTATTCAGCAAACCGTAATGACTTCAATGAGCATGAAAGACCAGGGACTGGGGAGGTGCAGAGGCTTCAGACAGTGGCCTGGGCTTCGGCTCAGAGGTGGTGGCAGACACAGAGGACTGTGGTACAAAGTGGTTTAGAAACGAATCAAAGACTTCAGGCTGTTAGGGGTGGACGAGGCTGTTTCCTTTGGTAGAAGGAATCAGAGGTGGCTCAGAATATCTCAGTGCAGGGAGGAAGGGCACTGGGAGGCGGGCAGGGGCAAGGTCAGGAAGGATCGGAGTGCGATGCTTTGTCTGGTGTTCAGTAGAGGACATTGGAGGATTTTTCATGTGGGGGAGGGCAGATTGGGGCTGTAGACAGATGGTTTGGGTAGCAATTAGGAGAGAAGAGGCCCTAGATTGAAGTCTGAGGACATTAATGCTCAGAGGTGGGCAGAGGAAGAGGACCTGAAAGGCCGAGAAGGAATTCGGGGAGATTTAGGGGGAACCAAGAGAGTGTGGGGCCAAGCATGGGTTAGGACGGGGGTGGGCATGAGGGTGGGCAGGATGCCTGGCTCCAGAGTCCCTGGGGCTCTAACTGGCAAAGGCAGGATGGCGTGGTTCCCCATGAATCGAGGGGCCTTAGACTCCTAACTCCTTGGTCCCTGTGCTGTAGGATGTGAGCCCATGTGGCAGTTCTACCTGCCAGCCCCGACCTCCCCTGTCTTCCACTTCTGACCTGGACTCAAGTATCTGGACTACATGGAATGAGGACGATGGCCAGCGAAGGTCCTCTGAGAGCCAGGTTGGAAGGTCTGGCTGTCACAGCGGAGCTGGCTTTCACTCCGTACTCAGTGGGAGCTGCCAAAGGACCGTAAGAAGCAAATGATGGGATTAGAGCTGGTTTTCAGAGGCTCAGGACACAGCCTCTGAGATGCTGGCCTTCAGACACCCATACGCGGGATATGGGAAATGACACTTTTGGACACGCTAGTGCACCTCCTTGCCATGGTGCCCAGGAGGCAGACAGGTGGGCAGGGAAAATAAGCAGAGGTAGTGATCTCTGGGGACAGCCTGTGCCCTTGGGAGCTGAGCCCAGAGACTTGTGTGCTCACCACTAACTTGAAGTTACCGAGAGATGACCGGTTAGGTTATTTCATTTTGCTTCTCTCGTTGGAGGGACTGTGCAAAACAAAACCCTTTTTGAGAGGAGGCGGCCACTGATGAGGGTGAATGAATGGTGCTTTGGGGAGGTTTTGGGAATTCAAAAGGAAAACAAGTGTGCACATTCGCAGTAGCCTCTCCCCAGGAGTATCTGTTAAGCAGTGTTTGTCATTTTGATGCTTCGCTCAAACGCTGGCAGACGTTGGCGTCTGTGGAATTATAGGCTTTTTAGAAGCTGGTTCAGGGCTAAGACTGTTTTGACCGAATATATTTCATCGATTCACTGCAACAAGTGTTCTTTTCTGACCGTGTGGCGGGAAGGACAGCGTGCTGGAAAGATCGCTGGCGTGCCCTGCCTTTGGGAAGGGCTGGCTTGCGCCCAGAGGAGTGTGAGCACCTTGTTGGCACCCTAGATGGAGGAAGGGAAGGGCCCAGGTTGATGGGGAGAGAGAGCAATAGGGAGACATGCCCTGGGGAAGAAAGCAGGAGGGCTTCTGAATGTATGAAAGCAGCTGGGAGGAAGAAGATGGGAGGCGGTGTGTGTGTGTGTGTGTGTGTGTGTGTGTGTGTGTGTGTGTGTGTGGAGGGGGGTCAGAGAGAGAGGCAGGTGGGAGGGGAGGGGCTCAGAGGGCACTCGGCTGAGGAATTCCCTGGGGGAGGAAGTCGCTGATACATTTATTTTATGGCAGTGCCTGGCATTGAGTTCGAAGTTGTTTTCTGCTTTGTACCATTTTTATTCCCTGCAACCCCGAAACCTTAGGGAAAGTCTGCGAGATGCAGCAACCTTGCATTCGTGGTTCTCTGGAGGAATGAGAGATGGCGGGGTATGTGGGTGAAGGTGGTTGATGAAAGACGAAGGAACTCCACTTGTGCCTGGAGACTGTGGTGGAGAAACGGCTATTAGATGAATTTAGGAGAGACGTGGCCCCCAAATCCTCAGAGATTTGGGGGAGTAGGGGTCTAGATGTGACAGGAATGGGATGGGTGCCCCAGAGACTGGGACTGCACTGGAACATCCTGTCCGGGGACATCTAGGTTTCAGCCCGATGGACTTCAGGTTCTACTTTAGGACTTACTAGTTTGGTTTCATGAAGACATTGTGGAGAGTTCTTGGGTGTAATGAAGCCTCAAGATCCTAATGGAAGAAAAAAAAATTGCCTGGGGAAAAACTGATGAAGTCAGGACTGTGTGGAAAGAAGGGCTGGGTGTGTGTTTAGAGGGAGGCAGGTGGAAAAAATATTCTGAGCTTTCCCTGAACATTTCCTCGGTCGTGACTGTGCTTGTGTTGATTTTCAGAGTTTGGGTCTAAACTCTTGCTACTTAAAATGTGATCCCAGCCCTGCCTTTGGGCAACTTATGCTCCAACCACCCAGAACTTCTCACTGTTTTTCAACTAGACCCTCCTCTCTCTGCTGTGAGCACCTTCTGTCTCCCATCTCAGCATCTTTTCATAGATGATTCCCTTTGCTTGCAATACGTTCCTCCATTAGTTCTGCCTGCTACCCTCCTCTTCATTCTCCATGTCACCTTCTCTCTTTCTCCTGAAACGACCCTGGCTTCCGAATACTCACACAAGAAACAATACTATATATTTAATAGGTACATCTATATGGATATACATGCCTAGAAAAAGGTCTAGAAATATGCTCGGTTGAATGTTAACTGTATCATCCCATTGAGGAGACTGGGACAGCAGGTGGCGCTCTTGGAAACTCTATATTTGATATTTGAATTTTAAACAACAATAAATGTTCATGTATTAGTTGTATAATTACAAATAATAAAAATTTAAGCCATTTATATTTATTATAAAGAAATTTGGAACGAAGAAAGCATCAAAAGAAGAAAAGGAAGTCAGATGTAATCTTATTTCCTCTCCTCAAAGACAACCTTGCCATTTTTTATGTATTTCTGTCTAGTCTTTTTGTGTATATTTTTAAAAAATGTGATCATACTCTACCATTTCATCTCCTGATTTTTCTCTTGATATTATAATGTACACACTTCCTCATATTATTATAAACTCTTTATACCACAATGATACTGAATTACCCTGTTTTGTTAGACAGTTGGATCATTTCCACTACTTTTCTGTTACAAGCACCACTCTGAACATTTTTGTTCTAAAGTGCTCTTGGTATTTTTAATTATTTGCTAAGGATATGGTCTCAGGAAGTAAATTACTGGATCCAAGGATCTGAATAGTTTAAAAGCTTTTAGTATATATCATCCAATTGCTTTCCAAAAGGTTACAAAAACACATACCTCAATTTATTCTCTTGTCCTCCATGAGAGTGTTTCAGTGGAGGTTCTAAGGTAAAACCTTATGATGGGAGATGATTATGGTGCCTTAAGTTGGAGACCAGTTGGCCATTCTGGGGCGGGATGAGTGGGCTCAGTGAGAGAGAAATAGGGGTCAAGAATGATACGTAGGTGTCTATATGGACATGTTAGGGTTATTCACTGGCATTAAAAACCTACAGGAAGAAGCAGGTTGCCTGGAATGATGGGGTATTTGA